GGGGTGAACCCTAAACCCTAATTGAGAATAATTGGGGTGGTTCGGGCGGGACTACATGCTGACGCAAGCGCGCGATTAGTGGGTGCGCCCCTATTCCTAAAGTAAAAGGCGCACCCACCGCGCGCATACTGTTACACACCCTAATCCCTAAACCCTAATCCCTAAACCCTAATCCCTAAACCCTAACCCTAATCCCTAAACCCTAATCCCTAAACCCTAATCCCTAGACCCTAATCCCTAAACCCTAATCCCTAATCCCTAATCCCTAATCCCTAAACCCTAATCCCTAAACCCTAATCCCTAAACCCTAAACCCTAAACCCTAAACCCTATAATCCCTAAACCCTAAACCCTAAACCCTAATCCCTAAACCCTAAACCCTAATCCCTAAACCCTAATCCCTAAACCCTAATCCCTAAACTCTAAACCCTAATCCCTAAACCCTATAATCCCTAAACCCTAAACCCTAATCCCTAAACCCTAAACCCTAATCCCTAAACCCTAATCCCTAAACCCTAATCCCTAAACCCTAATCCCTAAACCCTAAACCCTAATCCCTAAACCCTAATCCCTAAACCCTAATCCCTAAACCCTAATCCCTAAACTCTAAACCCTAATCCCTAAACCCTAAACCCTAACCCCTAAACCCTAATCCCTAAACCCTATAATCCCTAATCCCTAAACCCTAATCCCTAAATCCAGATCCCTAAGCTCTAAACCCGAAACCCTTGAGGGCTGCAGCGCAATCTCCAGAGGCCTGGTTGCCCCCCATCAAGGCCAGAAAGACCCAGACCTTCCAAAATCCCTTGATGAAGCAGTATACCTTAAATCATATCATATTAGGGACCCTACTATAATTTAAGGTATATTCCTTAATTAAGCGGTTTTGGAAGGTCTGGGGAGGGGAGACGGACTGAGAGGGAGATAGAGAGCCGGGGGTGGTGGTCGAAATTATGGTGCCTTTTGGGTCCCTATTCTACTACGGCACCTATTATTTAGGGTCCCGAAAAAAAGGAACCGTAATTTTGACAACCACCCACGGAGAGAAAGGAGAGAAAGAGAGCGACAGCGGAGAGAAAGAGACAAGGGAAGAGCGCTAGGGCTTAGGGATTCCCAGAGAACCCAATACCCCATAATTAAGAAATATACCTTCAATCTTAACACGAAGCCCCCAATAACTGAAGGTATAATCCTTAATTGAGGGGTATTGGGATCTCTGAGTTAGGCGGGTTCAAGCAACTGGTGGCCTGGCAGCAATGCGCCCGAACGGCCTCTGCACGGACCTCTGGCACGAGACTTCGCACCGGTTTAGGGTTTAGGGTTTAGGATCTCGAGTCTGTTTGGATTCAGGACTTGGGGTTATGGGTTTTGGGCTTGGGGTTGCCGAATTCTCGGGGCTCTAGAGCGGGTACTGTAGCTGTAAAGATGTCCAGGCCCTCATGTTCAGGGCTTTCTGGAGTAAGGACCCCAACAGGTGAACCTGGACACAACTAACCCTAAACTCTAAACCTTAAGCCCTCAACAGTAAGATTCCGCATAATTTTAATCAAAGCAACAGTGATATTAATCATGGCAGGACGAAGATCCTTCATGCAAGGGCCACCAAGTAAAGCAACATGGAAGTCTGAATAATAACAAGTCGTATCCCTCCATGCTCATGTTACTATACTCTGCCCCCAAAGCCCTGCTCTAATTCAGGTCCATGTGTTAAAGCATCTGAAAAACCCTTAGTCGGAAAAAACTGAAAAAAAAACTCCTCTGACTCCAAGATCCAGAAATTCAAACCCATGCGGAGCTCTTGTACAGAAACCCTTAATATCGGGGCCTTAATACTTGGAATAGGGTTTTGGGGCCCATAATACTATAATCATAATAAGGAACCCCCAAAATAGCATAGATAAATAAATAGGCCCCTAAGCAAAACCCCAAAAATACCCCAAGAAGTAATACTGATAGACCCCTTCAAAAGCAACCCTCAAAAGAACCAGGTTTTTGTGGCCCATAACGCTATAATCATAATAAGGAACCAGAGAACCCTTAGCCTGAGCCGCATTGTCTCTACTCCTTTCAATCGGCTCACAAAACCTACTTCTAAGGTAAAAACCAGAAAGTTGGAATATGATTATCCTAACCCTTCTATGGTAAATTATAGGGTATCCTGCCATGAAACCATATTCCAACTTTCTGGAGTTCCCTGTATGGAGATCTCATTGAATTTTAAATAGAAGCAGACGAACTCAAAAGACGATAAGCCAAAAAGCTCTTTAAAGCCCATAAACCACCCTAAAACCTCTAGGCTCGGTAGCCTGAAGAGGCCAGGTGTCGAAGAGGCCGCGGTTGGGGCTCAGTGCCCTGCTCAAGCGCTGGCGGGTTTCGGGTTTGGGTGATACTGTTGCGAGGCAGAGGGTTTAGGGTGTAGGGTTTAGGGTTTAGGGTGTAGGGTTTAGGGTCCTGTACCAGTCAAAGAGAACGGAATACGTGCCAAACTCCAACAGTGCAGGGTCTTCCCTAACTAAACCCTGAACCTCACACACTTACAGCCTACACCCCGGATTTGCCCTACCAGCTATGCGGGTTCAGGGGTGTTTTCCACATCTCGGGCTGCGGCGCATGACGGCCTTTCAGGCTTTGTGCTTGCACTGTAAGAGCCTGAATAGAGTAAGGTTCTGGGGTATACTGTCATATGGTTACACAGGGACTGCTACTGTTGATGATATAAACCCTGCATTACCCACAATAAGGAGTATACCATAATTCCCATAGATTAAGGTCCTTAAGGTAATGCCGGATTTATACCATCAACCGTACCAGTACATCGTGGACGTGGGTCGTGGACTTTCCTTAACCCGAAGTCCTAAACCTTCGACCTCCAACCCTCAACCCTTAACCCCGGGTTTAGGGTTTAGGGTTTAGGGTTTAGGGCAGTAGAAGCCCAAAAGTTGGAAACCCCAGAGATTCAATCCTTAAGAGGAATGTATAGGGAATCCCAGCACTATTTGGCCTTAGTCCAGTTTCCAACTTTATGGGGTTTACTGCAAGCCCAAAACCCTAAAACCCAAAGCATGTTCAGGGGACCAATCTGCAAGCGAAGGCCGAATGAGAAACCCCTGCGAGACTTAAAAACCTCTTGATGACGAGCATACCTTGAACTCTTATATCAAAACAAACGCCTGCCATACGGTTGATGATATAAATCCTGCATTACCCATACTAAGGAAACTTACCATAATTCCCATAGTTTAGTGTCATTAAGGTAATGCAGGATCTATATCATCAACAGTATTTGCAAGGGTTTCCGTAATTGAGAAGTTGTGGCGTCTCTGGGGCCGTTTCGGTCCTCGAAGATTATGCTTCCAAAGTTGCTGCAAGGGCCTCAATATGGGAGTTTCCGAAAATGAGGGGTACCTTATTTTGGGGTCCTTATAATAAGGATTGGGGTACTATATTAGGGCCACCTATTTTCGGATACTGCCATATTCGGATCTCTGTTTAGGTTTCCAAAGGGAAGAAGGCTTATGAACCAGAGGTCTGCCTTTAGAACGGCGCTGTAAGCTTGACCCAATACTTGGAGGGTCGGGGGACTTAGTAAGTGGTTATCTTAGGGACTTGTAAGTACCATAACCCCAATTACGGTCCCTTTTAGGGTACTTATAAGTCTACATACTACCTACTTACTAAGTCCCCCGACCCTCCAAGTCTAGACATACTAAACCCTAAACCCGAAACCCGAAAAGGTGTTAGGACGTAGGGAGACTCCCGGGACCCTGACAGGGTGTCATGAATCACTCACCGGTCTTTTGGGCTTCAACGGTGGGGCATTAGTTCCGGGTTTAGGGTTTAGTGTTTAAACCCTGGAAGCAACCCTTCAAGGAATCCTCATACAACCCTTCATTCGAGCAGCCCTCATACGGCCCCTCAAGGAACCCTCATTCGGGCCTTAAAGCGATCGTCATAGAACCCTTGGAGCAATCCTGCAGGGAATCCCCCCAACAAATCCTGAAAGGCAAACTCTCCAGGGTTTCGGGTTAAGGGTTTAGGGTATAAACGAACCCTTGCAGGTACCCTGGGTTTTCTCATGGAGGTTTTGAGGGAACCCTTCCAGGAGCACTTAAAGGAACTCGTAAGGGAACCCTCAACATGCCCTTTTGCCCATCGTACTTGGCCCGACGAATTAAACACGTCAGGGGCCACAGAAGAGGGCACCAAACAGCCAAGACAACCGAACAGCGCACCGAAACGACCTCGGGATTTACAGACTACAGCAGAAGCCCAAAAGTTGGAAACCCGATAGCCTCTCAATCCTTAAGAGCAAAGTTTAGGGAATCCCAGCTCTGATTGGCCTTAATCCAGTTTCCAACTTTTTGGGGTTTACAGTACCCTAAACCCTTGTCCTGGGGCCTCCAAAACCCCCAAAACAGTATAGAACCCTTATACAACTAATTATTGGGGTCCCAAGACCTTAAGCTCAAAGCCCTAAACCCCTACAACCGTTTACTGTGGACTCGTAAAGCCTCGAAAGAGCCATGATGCCCGAATGCCGAAATCGGTCTGGACGAGCTATCTACGCCATACCACGCGAAAGCACACTAAACTACACTGGGCCATCCTGAACTACATTCTGAACTGATTATACCAAGAATGTTCTCGGACAGAATGTCACAGGGAGTGTACACTTTCTCAATCTTCCTCAAGACAGCTATGCTGAACTAGGTGGCTCATGTCTTTTTAGCAGGCCGCCAACTTACTTGGAGAGTCGGGTGACTTAGTAAGTAGGTAGTAAGTAGACTTTTGAGTACCCTAAAAGGGGCCCTAATTGGGGTTATGGTAATTATAATTAACAATTATAACTCTATGATGTCACTACTTGGTAAGTCCCCGGAACCTCCAAGTACTAGACAAGTTGGAGGCGACAGAAGCTTAGGGTATTCACCCTCGAAGATGGAGCAACCCCCTGTCAGCATCACATCCTGCGATGCTTCGGAGGCCCGGAGTGCATGGGAACTACCAACCAGGCCGGCGTAACAACGCCTTCAGGCCAAGTCCTAGGAAGTAGTTGCACAGTGCTATAAGCAGCGTGCAGCATGCATAGCTCACTAGTCGAAAAAAGGCACTTGAAGTAGTAAGCTCGAAAAAGACCTGATCTGTGAAACGAGTGAAGCCATAAGCTGCGATCAATACAAGGACAGGGATAGCTGCTGCTGACAACACCGATAGGTTCTTAAGGAGCTCAAGAAAAGGACTCCTGGGTCTCCGGCGACCAAGCCTGAGCAAAAGTATCAGGAGATCCTTGTTCGCTGGGACTAGGAACCAAGTCAGCAGCCCTTCAGCGAGAAGGCACAGAGCAGGATGATCCCAGAGCGCCCAAATATTGGGGGGTTGAGTCCAGCTGGCAGAGAGATCCATAAAGGCCAGAATGACTGGAGAAGACACTCCTAAAGCCCATGGAGTACTGAACACCTTCTGGGTGAGATCACGGTTCAAAATGTCTGAAACCTCGGTGCGCACCGTGTCCTCGAAAGCTAGCTCGCTGCCAAACCAAGTCTTCACACACTCTTTCACGATCTTACGGTCGCAAAGCATACGTTCACCCGAAGAGCTCAGATGATTTAAATCACAGCATGAACTCCTCGTAGAATCAACAGAGATCGAAGACAGCTGCAGCTTCATGGTGTCCAAGTCTCGAAAATAGCTTCGGATGGTGCTCGCAGTCGGGACTGCAACCACAAGCCTATACTGCACTTAGAACCCTAGCCAAAACTATAATTTGAGCTGTTTCTTAGGGATTATAATCACCCAAAATTAAAAAATATCTCTAAGTACCCCTAAGAAGCATGCATAGGACAATGGCCGACAGCATCTGCAAGATGGTTCTTTCGGTGTCCACAGGTACCGTTGCGATGGGCATTGCAAAGGCAGCAAAGGTAAGATAGACTGCGATGGTAAGAGGTCCCATGAAAATGGGCCTGACGATAAGGTGCTGCTGTCGTGACGTCTTGCTTTTCAGGAAGGCAGCAAGCTCGAACAAGCACCACCTCTTTTGGCTTTGCAACTTATTCGTAATGATTAAACCCTAAACCCTAAACCCTTAAGACCCTTCTAGAGCCAAGACAGGGAAAGCACTCCCAATGGCCTACCGAGCCGCAACCGTTCAGTCCATGTTGGGTCCCACAGAATGAGCATTCCTTGGCTGACTTCAAAAGATACCGTTTAGGGTCTAGGGTTTAGGGTTTTAGCCTTCTTACTATGGTTCATATAGAAACCAAAAAGGTAAAGTCCTAAAGAGCCAACCAGAAGAACGCCAAGATTCTGTCGGAATTTTTCAAGAGCCCAGCCAGGCTGAAAATGGCCTCCGTCTTCAGGCGAGCATCGTTTTGGCTGATACATATACCTCGTTCATGGTTGGGATTGGAATAAAAATATGCAATTTTCTTCCTGATTGGGTTTAAGTACCCACAAAAATGCAAAATGTTACTCAACTATGACAGAGGTGCGGTCAAGGAAAACGCCGGTCCGTGGCCGCCAGAACATCATGGCAAGACATGCGACGACGAACCCTGAAAATGTTGACCAACAAGACCACAGAAAACCTGGACTTTGAAGTAACCAGGGAGGAAAAAAGTATAGACGTTTATTTCATAATGGTTCCTTTAAGGAACAGTTACCAAAAAAAACCTTCAAGTATGGTACTCCAAACCCAGGAAACTGTCATCCCACCATCCACGGTCAATTCCAGGAAGGTTTCCCACACTAAAGAGCATCATCATGCACGCCCCGGTGAGCAAAGACAACACTACTGCAGCAGTGCCGTTGTAGAGAGTTACAATTGTCAAAATCTTCTTCCAATGCCCTCCGTGCCAAGAGTGACTCCAAAATGTTGAGATTTGTTGGCTCCGGTGGCTCTTGTGGAAAAAATCCCCGGCAGAGTCGACACGCAATGCCACAGCAAAACGTTCCAAGGCGCGAAACACTGGTGTCACCCTCAAGACCTCTGGATTTACAACATCCATCTTGGCAACGCGTTCTGCCAGAGTTGGTATCATCGCTTCCATGTGCAGGTCCGTAACAGATGCCCCAGATTCCATGCTGTGCCCGGGACTTGGTGCAGAGTCGCGGCTGCTGCACTGGCTGGGGCCACTGTCTTGCCTCTCGCACGGCACCTCTTGGTCCAGGGAGGAAGCTTGGCTGCTGGTCTGGCTCCGCCTTCCCAACATGGAGGCGGGATCGTCCCTGGCTGATTAAACGAGTTTTCTCAGTGGGCAGCTGGAGGAAATGTGGGGCACCAGGCTAAGGTCTCAGGTTTCAGCGTGGGGTTGCAAAGGTTCACGGCCTTCCAGCATTCTGCTCGTTAGTGCTCGCTCATTCTGATCAAAATTTGTGTGGGCCTTCTGAACTAGCAGTCACCCGTGGTTGCTGAGCAGAAAGACGGCCTGCAGCGAAGGACACAGAACGCCAAATCTGTTCAATCTCATGTTCTGGACATGTGGGTGGTTGTCAACATTGGGGTCCCTTTTGGGGTACCTTAAATATTAGGTGCCGTATTATAATAGGGATCCAAAAAAGGTACCATAATTTTGACAACCACCCACGTCCTCCTGCCCATGGTCATGGACTCTCGCCAGGGGAAACAGAAAAAATGCTCTACGTTGCCCAACAAGACAATAGAACAGCAAACTGACACGACCTCGGGATCTAAACTGTAGATTCATAAGAAATCGCGAAAGGTCCATGATGCCGGAACGCCAAATTCTGCCTCAACGGGCTATGCTAACACGCCAGGCCATGCGGAACCCTCAAAGCACAAGCGCGCCCGCGAAGGCAATGCTCCATGTCAGAGAAGAAGCGGAGCCTCGGGAAAGGTGAGGGCTAGTAACAGGAAGGGGCTGAAAGGATTTTGGGTTGAGGGTTTAGGTTTAGGGCTTAGGATTTGGGAGTTTCCAAAAATGTTCCGAAAATCGGGGTACCTTATTTTGGGATCCTTCTAACAAGGATCCTTCTATTTATTGTACTATATCAGGGTCCCCTATTTTCGGAGACTCCCATTTTGGGCTGAGGGTTGAGGATACAGGGCTCAGGGTTGTTTAGCGTTGCTCGGAATCACAAGCGAAGGCTCTACGAGAATACACACCATATTCCGTGCATCCCTGAAGCTGAAACTCCCCTGCTTCACTACAACCCGCGCACGATTTCAAAGGTCATCCCAATTTCGGGGCTTTTATAAATGAAATGGGGCTTTGTGGTAACCAGAATTACTCGCTATTCAAGCCCCCCACAAGACAAGACCCTGACTCGAAGACCCTCTACTTGAACTCTAACATTGAATCAACACCCCTCTGATTCTAAACTCTGTACCCTGAAACCTGCAAAGCCTACACTTTCGAACCTGCACCCTCAAACCCTGAATCCGAAAGCCTCTCCCCTTCAGCTGAAACGCTGCAAAACCCCCCTTTGAAAGCCTATCAAGCCCCACGAAACTCCTGAACCCAACCCTACAGTCTACTGAGTCCTTTCTCCCGAAGACCCTATGTGGGTAGTTGCCAAAATTATGCTCCCTTTTGGGGGCACCCTAAATATCAGGTGCCGCATTATATATTACGGACCCAAAAAGGGACCCTAACTTTGACAACCACCCTGTGTGTACACCTCAAGAAGGGTCTTCCTTGAAGGCATTCCCTTTAGAGCCATGTGCCAGCCTTAAGGCAACCCTTAACCCTACCTTAAAGAGCCCTTAACCCAGAGACTCCAATATCCCTTAATTAATGAATATTCATTAAATCATATTAGGGATCCTACTATAATTTAAGGAATATTCCTTAATTAAGGGATATTGGAGTCTCTGGGAACCGAGCCTGGGCAATCGCGACGCAACCCTGAATTGAGCCGTCCCCGAACCGTACAACGACCCTTATTCTGGCCTCCCCAAGCCCTTAAAGCAACCCTTTTCTTCCTTCTAGCCCTCAAAGCAAGCCCAACGCAACCCTTAATTCAGCTGTCCCCGAACAACCCGCAACCCAGCCTCCTAAAGCACCCCTCAACTTAGCTGCCCCCTGTGACCTCCGTGGGGGGAAGGCACCCCGTGGCCTGGAATAGCAATCCCTTAGCTGCAGCTACAGTAGTGGGTTGCTCATCCCAAACCCGTACCTTCTCCCGAGCGTGGGCTATGTATGCACCCCTTATTCGGGGTCCTGTGGGGTGGTGGGGTTCGGCGGGGTGGAGGGGTTTGGGGGGAGTGGCCAAATTGCACCCGTAAGGATTACTTCATAAGTGCCCTTAAGGGTTGCTTTCAGGTGCCCTTCAGGGTTGCTTTAAGGTGCCCTTAAGGGTTGCTTTCAGGTGCCCTTCAGGGTTGCTTTCAGGTGTCGAAAGACTTAATGCTATAGGCAGGGCCTAGTGCACAGACCTTAAACCCTAGACTCTAACGCCTAAAACCTAAACTCTAACCTCTAAACCCTCCTACACCCTAAACCCTAAACTCTCACTAATCCCTAAAACCCCGAAACCCTAAAAAAAAAAAAAAAAAAACTCCGCTCCAGTGAATCCCTCGCTCCGCTGGGTTCACCGGCCAGGCCCTCGTTTGGGAATCGGAGGCACCTGAACTCCACAGAGACTCCCAGGGTCTTTATGGGGGTTTCCGAGAATTAGGGGTACCTTATTTGGGGGTCCTTATAACAAGGATCCTACTATTTCAGGTACTATATTAGGGTCCCCTATTTTCAGAAACTCCTTTATTAAAGGGATCATATGAAGGTTCCTAGGTCCTAGGGTCCCTTTAAAGGGATCCTATAAGGGGGTATCCTATGAGGGTTCCTAGGGTCTTTTTTAAAGGGATCCTATGAGGGTTCCTAGGATCCCTGTAAAGGGATCCTTTCAAGGTTCCGAAAAGGGATCCTCGAGTCCCTTTCAAGGCATCCTTTCAGGGCTCCTAGGGTCCCTTTAAAGGGATCCTGTAAGGAAGGGTTCCTAGGGTCCCTTTAACGGGATCCTATAAGGGTTCCTAGGGTCCGTTTAAAGGGATCCTTTAAGGTTTCCTTCAAGGATTCTTATACGGGATCGTTAGGGTTTAGGGTTTAGGGCTTGGGGGTTTGGGAATCGGAGGCACCCGAACTCCCGGCTTCGGGCTTCAGGGGTGTACTTGGAGGATCATGGGACTTCCTAAGTGAGGATATCAGTACCTTACTTGGGACTATACATAATTATAAGTATGGTTACCGTATTTATAACCCCAGTTAAGTCCTATGATCATCCAAGTAGGGTCTTGCTTAGGGTTTAGGGCTTGGGGGATACTACTTGGCTTTGGAGCACGGGCTTGGGGTGCCACTTGGAGGGTTGGGGAACGTAATAAGTACAGATACAAGTACCCTAAAAGGAGTTAGGGTTTAGGGTTTAGGGGAGTCCTAATTGGGGTTATGGTACTTATAACCCTGTAAAGTAGCTACTTGGTAAGTCCCCTGACCCTCCAAGGTGCAGGGTCTTATTACGTGCTTTAGGTTTAGAGGTTTAAAGTCTACAGTTTGGGGTTTAGGGGTTTAGAGTTTAAGGCTTAAAGCTTAAGGGTTTAGAGTTTAAGGTTTTTTAAGTTGGGGTGACGTCCTCTTTGTCTGCCTGCCTCGCGAGTTTAAGGTTTAGGGCTTAGAGTTTCGGGCCTGGCTCTTCGAGAGCTTTGGGGTATGGGCGATCAAGTATTAGAGGTTCAGAGTTCAAACAGTTTAGGTTTAGGCTTGGGGCTTTTGAAGTTGGGATGGGGACTGTTGTGAGGGCCCGTGTTTTTTGCAAGATAGGTTGGTTGGCAAAGTTGGTAGGCACGGAGCCCTCAGTTGGAAGATGCCACCGGTTCGTTATGAGAGATGTCGGTTGTGAAATCTGATGGTGAGGTGCTGTCATTGCCTTCATCTGACAGTGAAAGTTGCGGCACTCCGCAGCTTTGCGGCATGCAAGTGCCTGGCCTCTTCCGGGCCAGCTCGGGAGCAGGTTTCTTCCAGATTCTGCTTTGGAGCCGGCCTCTTCCTCCAAACTCAGGCAACAACATGGGAGTTGCCGAAAATTGGGGGGACCCATGGACCCTAATCTAGTGCCCTACATAGTAGGATCCTTGTTATAAGGACCCCCAAATAAGGTACCCTGATGTTCGGAGACTCCCACATTGGTGCGCCGGTGGATTCTCACGGGCATATCCCCCAGGTAGTCGGTATAGAGGCGACAGGCCTGTCGGTGCCCAAAGCTTGTGGGACTGAGGCCGCAGTCCCGTTGAAGAAGAAGTTTAAAGTGTGCGCGCAAGCATCAAATGACTCGGCCATGTTGGTGCACAGATTTTGCAACACTTCTTTACAGCACGTGACCAGTAGTAGCGCTTGTTGCACTTGTGATTCGGGGCATGGAAGGCGTCCACAACATAGAATTTGATGCCTCCGAAACCAGCTAGTTTGTGGCACTTTGACGTGCTTCTCAAACGCGAGGCGCCGCGAGTGCGGTGAAAGGAATGACGGAAGAACGGAACAAGACACTACCCTACTCTACGCTACACTACACTACACCACACAATATAGCACACAATGCATTTCACAATACAATTCACTTTACTTCAACTTTGGTAAGCTCCTGGACTGCGGGAAGACGATGGGGAAGGGGGGGGTACAAGACTAGTCCACTGGCCCTCACAACAGTCCTTTCTGTCACAGCAGGGACCCTTCATAGAATAGGGACCCATCATGGCACTTAGAACCTCTTCTAAACCCTAAACCCTCAACCCTAAACGTTGAGGTTTTGGATCCTGCAATGGGAACCCTAAGGCAACCCCAAGAAAAAGGGCTTTCAGGTCCTTGCTGAATCAAACGCAAAATCGAAGTTCCCATGAAGACCCCCAAGCCCTCAACCCTCAACCCCAAGCCCGAAACCCTAAACCCTAAACTTTAGCCCGAAACCCTAAACCCAAATCGCTAAACCCTGAACCCTAAACTCTAAACCCTCGTCATCCCTGAACCCTAAACCCTAAACCCAAACCCCTAAACCCTAAACCCTAAACCCCAAGCCCCTAAACCCTAAACTCTAAACCCCAAGCCCCAAACCCCAAAGACCTTCTCCAACTTGCTGCGCAGCCTTCGGGGGATATCTGCTCAATGCTTTGTGCTCTCGGGTTCAGGCTTTACAGCGTCGAGCTTCGGGTTTAGAGCTTAGAATTTCGGGTTTAAGGTTTGGGGTTTGGGGTTCTAGGGTTTAG